TGGGAGTTCAAACGTAAGGCAAATGAAATTGGTGTTGGGTGATCTTCTCGTTTTCGTTATTTGTTTCACATAATGTTGTTACAAATGTTGTTGTTACAAATGTTGTTATTACAAAAATTCTGTAAAACTTTTAATACTTTCATTTCCTTTGCCATGGGTCTATAGACGAGAGAATTCTGTGCCTAGGTTTTGTCTTGGAACAACATTACGATCTTGATGTTGTTGTTGTCGTTGTGCTGTTGTTGTTATAAAAAAAATATTATTTCTTTAGGATTTACGTACATTTGAATGATGTCCATAATATTATCATTGTAGCTAATGTTGTTGTTGTTGTTGCTGTTGTTGCTGTTGTTGCTGTTGCAGTATTTTTTATTGTTGTTCCTATTGCTGTTGTTATTCAAAACTTGTACTTTCTTTTCAGATTTGTAAACATTTAAGTGATGTCCATATCTCTGCAGCTTGTGTTGTTGTTGTTGTTGTTGTTGTTGTTGTTGTTGTTGTTGTTGTTGTTGTGTTGCTGGGTTGTTGTTGTTGCTGATGTTAAAAAACTACGACTTTTTAGTTGAGATCTCCATTTTGTAATGGAGAGATGTCCATAGTTTTGCACTTTGTATTTTTGTTGTCGGTGTTCACGTCAAACTTTCCCAATACCCGTCCCATCGCCACCCTTTTCATTCCCTCTTTACCTCTTTAATCACACACCCCCCTCCCTCCTCCCCCCCATATCCAGAAAAAAAAGTCAGTCCAAGACACAATCCCACAAACACACATTGCCCCATATGGGGAGTGTTTTGTGTCGTGTGTCTCAGTCTGTCTTTTTCCCCGTTATCTCCTTCCTGATATGTCCTGGATATTCTCTCACGACTGACCACATCGGGGCTGTGACTTGACCAGAAGTTTTGGTTTTGGGTTTTTTTGTCTGTAATTTCCTCATCACTTTTTTCGTCATGACTTCCCCACTCGGAACAGCTTCCTTGTCCGGAGGTCCCGGTCACCAGGGTAAATAACTCCACGTCATTTCAACACAAAGCTCTCTCGTTTCCTTTTGATTTTTTCTAAGCTCTAAAACAAAAACTGATTTTTCTCTCTGTATAAATTCATTTAATTGTCTGTTTTTATCACTGCCTCATGTGTGTGTGTGTTTGTCACTGTGTATGTGTGTTTGAGTATGTGTGTTTGAGTATGTGTGTGTGTGTGTGGGTAGGTATTTTTATGGTTGGGGGGGGGGGGGGGTTTGCAAGAGGAAGGGTATGTGCGTGTATATGTGAGTGAGAGAGAGTGCGTATGGGTGTGTGTTTGTGTGTGTGTGTGTTTGTTTTTATGTCC